TCCTGATGACAGGGATAACTGCAGACTCGTGCCCAATCCTGACCAGAAGGATTCTGATGGTGAGTCAGAGGTGCCACTTTTTAAGAGATGTAACTGACCCCATGGTGGTCAAGATTGAGGAAATAAAAACAAAGCTGAATGCGTTTGAGAGGATGGAGTGACTCCACACCAACTTTTTCAACACAGTGAATTTCCGATGCTAATAACATTTCAGGATTTCACTGACTTCTCTCCGTTTTGGCCTTAGGTGATGGTCGAGGTGATGCTTGCAAAGATGATTTTGACCATGACAGTGTGCCAGACATTGATGACATCTGTCCTGAGAATGTCGATATCAGTGAGACTGACTTCCGCCGGTTCCAAATGATTCCTCTAGATCCCAAAGGGACATCCCAAAATGACCCTAACTGGGTTGTACGCCATCAGGGTAAAGAACTCGTCCAGACTGTCAACTGTGATCCTGGACTTGCAGTAGGTGAGTAGTGACTTCTTACATCACGAGGCAGATGCATGCATGAGAAACAAGCAAATATAAAACCAGGCAGCTACACCTGTCCCTGTGGATACTAAGGGACTCTGGAGATGTAACAGAGAACTTCCATCAGCTACTCCATTAACCTGCCTCTGGCCTCATCTTCCAGGTTATGATGAGTTTAATGCTGTGGACTTCAGTGGCACCTTCTTCATCAACACTGAAAGAGACGATGACTATGCCGGGTTTGTGTTTGGCTACCAATCCAGCAGCCGCTTCTACGTTGTGATGTGGAAGCAAGTCACCCAGTCCTACTGGGACACCAACCCCACAAGGGCTCAGGGATACTCAGGACTTTCTGTGAAAGTTGTGAACTCCACCACAGGGCCGGGCGAGCATCTGCGGAATGCCCTGTGGCACACAGGAAACACCCCAGGCCAGGTAAGAAGCAGCGCCCTACAGAAGGGAGAGAGCTGACAGGTGCCTGACTAACACTCAGGAGGCTTTGCTTTGGCTACTCCCAACAGGGGAGTCCTACATACAAAGTTCCCAGAATCATAGAGCACTAAGCTCTGCTTTGTGAAAAACAATAGTGGCTGAGAGGGGAGCTCCCCATGACCGAGGGCTACCCTTCAAATCCAAAGGTAGTTTCAGTCTCTTCAAACAAAAAAGCTCCTTTCTCTTCTCTCCACCTGCCTACTCTCTTTGTGCATTCAGTGGCACACAACCAATGAGAGGCCTTGGGAGAAAATCCTGCATTGCAGCACTCTCATTTAGGTCCCCTCAGTTACCTTGGAAGCACTGTTTCTTATGGAATGAAATATAAATCTGATGGAGCTATGTTTCAGCCTTTCCTTTTCCATTTCCTTCAGGTGCGCACCTTGTGGCATGATCCCCGTCACATAGGCTGGAAAGATTTCACTGCCTACAGATGGCGTCTCAGCCACAGGCCAAAGACAGGCTTCATTAGGTAAGATTTTACTGATTAAATTACACTTAAACAGTGTCACTGACGGGCAAGAGAGGACCAAACTGTAGCAGTGCCACTAACAAGATTTTTTTTTTTTCCCTGCAGAGTGGTGATGTATGAAGGGAAGAAAATCATGGCTGACTCAGGACCCATCTATGACAAAACCTATGCTGGTGGTAGGCTAGGACTGTTTGTCTTCTCTCAAGAAATGGTGTTCTTCTCTGACCTGAAATACGAATGTAGAGGTAAGAACAACAGTACAGTGAATATACAATTGACATCTCTAGTTCAGGCGACAGCAAGGACAATTATAGGAGAGTGATTTAAAGATGATTTTAAGGACAGGGTTAATATTTTGCTTTTGAGAACAGAGTGATAAAAATGGCCTACAGGATCAGAGTAAAGAAAACTGGTTTATTTACTCAAAACTTACTCAAATTATGATATAATTTTTCAAATGAATTTTTAAAATAAAACTTCTGAACTTTTAATATTGACAATCTCAGAAAACACATAAGTTCTGGAAGCTTATACTATGCTGATCTTCTAGCATCGATGTCAGTTAATAAAATGAAATGTTAACAGTGCTAAAACAGTCTTAAATATGCTTTTGTCATTATAAAAGTAGCCCTATCCCCAGGTTGTTGATTTATTAATGGATACTAAGTTGACTATGCTTTCATGAATTTTCATTTAATACTTACTTGTTTATTCCTTTTATTTAACAGATTCCTAATCATTAAACTAGTGATCAAAAGACTGACCATAGCCAATGATGGTATTGCACCTTCTGGAATCACGAGCTTGAGAAAACCCCAGGATCACTTCTCCTTGCCTCCCTTTTTTCTCTGCTTACATCAACATGGACGCCCAGAACATGGGACCAGCCTCAGGAAAATGCAGTTTTTAAAAAAGAGACTTAGCACTCGGCCTCCAATGAATCAGAAGACATTTTCCAAAAATATAAACAATTGCTTTGGTTTGCTTTTCAAAAAACAAAAGCATCTACTTGCTTCCATGGGAGAGGTACCCATTCCTCTCTGCTCCGTCACAGAGCAGGGTGCTGTCGTGAGACCATCTCTGAGCAGTGGACTCAGAAGCATTTCAGGCAAGTCAGAGAAGGGAGAACTCACTAGAATTAGCAAACAAAACCGCCCCTGACATACTCCCTCTGGAGGGGGAGCAGGGGCTGAGGCACTAAGGGGAGGGTGCACACTCAAGGACGACTGTATGAAGAAAATATGGAGGAACTGTTACATGTTCGGTACTCAAATCATTTTCAGGGGATCGAAAGACTATTGCTGGTTTTCATGATGCTGACCACGATGTTAGCTGATTAACCCACAGAAATAGGCACTTAAGTAGAAGCAGGGACAGGAAGGAAAGACTGGCTTCTGGACTTCCTCCCTGATCCCTGCCCCTTATATTTCACCTATAGTGACCAGAACAGGGAGTCGGAATTAAACCAGTGTAAGCCAGTGCCAGTGCCATTACCTGATCACATTGAAATTGTTGGTTTCATTCCAGACGTAGCTTGCGCAGATGTAGCAGGAAAATAGGACGACCTACCATCTCAATGAGCACCAGCTGCCTCCCAAGGGAGGGGCGGCAGTCATGCTTATATTTCTATGGTTAAAAAGGCACAAAATTACTATCAACCTAACTAAAACATTCCTTTTTCTCTTATTCTTCTCCCTTTTTCTCTTGTTCTTTTTCCTGGATTATCATGGAATTTTCCAATTCTCTTTTTTTGGACTTTAGATCATTCTTTTTTCCTTTGTTATAAATGCTTTACAATGTAAAATATTTATTTTGTACCTATTCGGGAGGATCTGTCTGAAGGATTATTCATGGAACAGGAAGAAGCGTAAGGACTATCCATATCATCTTCTTTAAGTCTTTATGACTGTAAGATTGTAAATACAGATTATTTATTAACTCTGTTCTACCTGGAATTTAGGTTTTTACATGGAAAGTGTTTGAAAGCAGGTAGTTGAGATTAATCAATTTTTTTTTCTTTTTTGAGATGAGAATGAAAGTCATTCCTTGGAAATGGCACTAAGAAAATCGGCAAAACAAGCTGCTTTTTGAATTGTGCTTAGAGTGAATAATTTTGGGTTTTTTTTCATGTCTTTTTGTCTTTGAAGCAGAATTAGTGGGTTGTCCATTTGCAAGTGTCTTAGGTTACAAAGAAAGCCATAAAAGTCTTCATTACTGTCTTACCCCTTCCCTTGTGCCTGTTTCCAGGGAAAAGAAAAGCATATACATTTTTGTTTTTCATTTTTCCAAAAGAGAAAAAAAAATGACAAAGGTGAAACTTATATACAAACATTACCTCATTTGTTGTGTGACTGAGTAAAGAATTTTTGGATCAAGCCGAAAGAGTTTAAGTGTCTAACAAACTTAAAGCTACTGTAGTACCAAAAAGAAAAAAAAGAAAAAAAAAAGTTAATGTTGTACATAGTATAAAAATTCTTTGCAGAAAATTATTCCCAATAAGGAAATAGCATTTAAATGTTAAATACATTTTCTGAAAGTGATGTTTTTTTCTGTCATCTTGTATACCATTGCTTTATTTTTATAAATTATTTTCTCATTGCCATTGGAATAGATATCTCAGATGTGTAGATATGCTATTTAAATAATTTATCAGGAAATACTGCCTGTAGAGTTAGTATTTCTATTTTTATATAATGTTTGCACACTGAATTGAAGAATTGTTGGTTTTTCTCTTTTTTTGTTTTTGTTTTGATTTGTTTTTCGCTTTTTACCCTGTTTTTACTATTTGCCAATACCTTTTTCTAGGAATGTGCTTTTTTTATACACATTTTTATCCATTTTACATTCTAAAGCAGTGTAATTTGTATATTACTGTTTCTTATGTACAAGGAACAATAATAAATCATAAGGAAATTTATATTTATACTTACTGTATCCGTGTTTATTTGTTCTCTACTGGCTTTATGTTATGAGGTATGGGTAAAAAACAATCTTAAACTAATATAGCACTCATAAAAATAAACTTTAGAACATAACAGCAACATTCAGAGATCCTACATGATTTAGAAAGATGCAGTTGCTCTAAGCCAGAGCTTGAGATACACATGTGCTAGACTTGTGGAATAAAAGAACAAAATGATAAATTAGCCTGCCATATTAAAAACATAAAGAAATGATTCCTAAGTCATGGGCCCCAAAAGAATACAATTTCTTATTTTAGTAATGTCAACAATTGGATCCTTTTAGAAGTCCAGCTCTGTTTCTAAAATGATCAATGAAAACAATGGAAAGACAGCTAGGGAACACATGTAACTCTTGAAGCTCCATTCTTCTAACCTGTGAATAATGATACTGGGTGGGCGACATGACATGTTGTTGAGAAGCTTTAGAAATAAGTGTGCGTGGGACCAGCAGTTAGCGTAATGGCTATGTCGCTGGACTCCCATGTAGTAGACCGTGGTTCGTGTCCCAGACCCGGTGGCTTAAAACTCACGCCGGGCACGTGTGCATGCGTGCCCAAGATCCCGAGAGGAGAATGGAGGAGAAGGGATTGCAGCGTGGCCATCCCCCCCGGGGAGTGATTTCTCACTTTCTGTCTCTCTGTTTTTGTCTGTCTGGGGAGTGCACGTGCCCTACGGCAAAAACCTCTCCAAAAAAAAAGGAAGAAGTGTGTGTGAGAAAGGAATTATCCTTGCAAAAGCAACCCAAGCATCAAGCATTATGGTAACACTTTTTGAAGAATGAAAACCACCTTTGGGCAAAAACAGATGACTAAAAAGAAATGGAAAATTTGGAAGGAATGCAAAATATGTATATATGTGTGTAAATATAAAGTTATTTTGTGAATTATCTCATGAAAGTCAAGGTGTTATAATAAGCAGACCTTGAGTGTTGCATGGGCTAATCATGACTGTGGGATATCAACCTATTAATAATTTAGTCTTAATAGGAATGGAGCCGATGAGAGGTCTGATGTCAGCCTGATGGGATATCCTTTGTAAGTAACTGGACATTTCTCCCTGGCCAGTTCTAGTATCTTGCCTTTGTCTACGGTTTTGGCCAATCTGGCTATAATATGCCTTGGAGAAGATCTTCTTGGGTTGATTTTATTTGGAGTCCTGTGTATTTCCTGGGTCTGGATATCTGAATGCCTCTCTAGGTTTGAAAAGTTTTATCTCAAGATTTCATGGGATAGATTATCAATGCCCTAGTTTCTTCACCTTCTGGGATACAGATTATTGGTATGTTGGGCATTTCATGGTATCTAGTATTTCTCATAGTATCTAGTATTACTATTATTATGTGGGGTTATTTTGAGGTTTTAGTATCTAGCTACTGTTTGAACAGAAGCCTATTCTTTTTCCTGGCTTTAAGTCTTAAGCAAATGTTTCTTAATATTTTTTAATTTTGATTTATTGATTTTCTTGAAATTAAAAAAAATACATAAAAAAAACCTATCTAATGACCACAGTAAGCTAGACAGCCTCATCTAGGTGCTACCTTATAGTATGTTCATTGTACTCACTGACTTTTATACCTAAAGTAAGACAAGTGATCATAGACATGTTTATATCAGCTGCACTTTCTATTGAAAGCATTTAGATTAAGATCTTTTGTGAATAAAATGTGAAAACTAAGAAAAAATAAAGATCTATTTACATAAAAAATAGAGTACTGCCACGTAAGTCGAATAAAACAAGTTTTCTATCTAAATTGTAAAAAGAAAAATATATGATAATGTCTTTGAACTGATATGCAGTGTATTCATGACAGTAAAATTAATTTGGTATGCTTTAATGATACACAGAAATTGAATGTAATAAATAAATAAACAAAATGGATCAAAGAAGGAATTTAATAAAGAGGTAAAAAATCTGACTTTGAGATCTGAAAACACTAAAAAGTACTAACTGAGTGAGAATTTTCTTCCTTACTGAAAATTGAATGTAATAAATAAATAAACAAAATGGATCAAAGAAGGAATTTAATAAAGAGGTAAAAAAATCTGATTTTGAGATCTGAAAACACTAAAAAGTAATAACTGAGTGAGAATTTTCTCCCTTACTGATTTTTATTTTTTGTTCTACAAACACTTATCTGAATAGTATGATCACATATAAATGGAAATTGCCATATAATTTTGGACAGCCAAGGTGAAGTAAGAACTAGAAAGTGATGGGAATGACTGCAGAGTTGGGAAAACTGTTTTGAAAAAAAAAATCTTTGAAAACATGACAGTATTCATTCTTGAAATAGCTCAACACATGAAGTCCTCGAAGATAATTCTAATTCATTTTCAATAGTGGAGCAAATTATTGAAATATCAAAATGAAGACTGGCCCTATAGCATAGTAGTTAAGCACTGTGCAGGAAGCTGGATCCCACATGCCCACTGCAGTGGCTTGAAAAACATACCAGGCACAAGCGCATGTGCCCGTGATCCTAATAGGATGGAGAAATGGGAAAATAAAAAAGATTGTGGAGTTCCCAGGCCTTGTTGGCCTGTTGGAGGGTGCTTTCTCTCTCTCTCTATCTCTCTAATTTTCTCTCTTTCTCTCTCATATGTTCTCTGGCATTAAGAAAAAAAAGTAAAAGAAAATATCAAGATGAGACAGAAAAAGTGGCTGGGAATGGGAGCTTTATTTCCAGGCAGGCTCCATTCTCACCCTGAGCCTGACCTTCAAATCAGCCAGTCATACTGATTAAAAATGTAAATTATGTCATTAAGATGATAGCTTTATCCTCCTACAAGAGTTTATTGTCGTGTGTTTTGGCAGAATTAGATTGAAGGTCAATAAACTTTAGGTCCAATGGGAATTTACAATGAGGGTGATGCCAGGGGTTTTTTTTAAAGAGTTTTATATAGAAAAACTTCAAATTTTAAGTCCCTAAATAAATGCTTTAGCTCACCCTTTTCTACAATTTTTATTCTACATTTTGTTCTGGGAAAAATGCTCAGGGCTACAGAGAACCACAAAATAAAAATATTTTTTAATAAAGACTTTCCATATCAGGGTGAACTTTCTATATCAGGGTGACTTTCTTTTTTAATCTGGAGACTTCGGGTTGAATTATCAATATATCATAAATTCAGTTTACTAGTTCTCACTAGAGTTACTTTCAGTTGACAAGTTATAAGATAGTGTCACCTCTTTTAATGACAGAATTCATTACTTAAAATCACTGTTTTCTGTCCCTTTACCTAAACTGTAATAAAAAGTCTTGCTATGCCTCAAATACATTTGCAGAAGCACACTACCAGGTCATAATCCCTTTGCAGTGCTAGACTAAAAATAATTTCTTCTGTTTCCTTCAGTCTTTATCTTTCTTATATTCCTCTCCCCTTCTCTCCATTTCTTTTTGTCACTATGTCTCTGTCTCTTTCTCTCTTTCTCATATGCAGAACATCAAACACCAGGAAAGTAAAGGTTTAGAAAGCTGAGCTTCTCTGAAAGGCTGATGACTCTTCTCATCCCAGTCCAAATTCTCACCTGTATCACCTCTGACCTCTGATTGCTCCCATCCAAACCCTAAAACACACAGATGTGCCACATGTCGTTCCTATGAGAATACAGAATCATGACCTTTCACTTCTGCTGACATCCACAGCAAAACTCTTGGCCTCAAGATAAATTACATCGTAGCATATTGACATCAGCATGAATCATTATTATTTTAACTGAACCAAAGAACAAATAGTAAACTGAAACAGATGGGATGGAAAAAGAAATAGACGATTGATATCTCAGCAAATAGTAGCTATAGAATTCATTTTTAAAAAGTCAAAGAAATGTAATGTAAGTAATCATTAATGTTATCCAATATCAATAGATGAACATGTGTATGTAAGACTTAATAAAGCTATTTATAGGGCCAGTTCAATAGTTTAGTGTGTTAAGAGAACCAGATACCATATGGCCAACCTTCTCTCTTAAGATGGTACTACAGACTTTTCTTTCTTTTTTTTTTTTTTTTTATAATTATGATCTTTATTTGCTGCATTCTAACAGGCCCAAACTCTGAAAGAAATTTACATACTGAAAGGTATCAAGTCAAACTCCTGCTTAAGAAGTTTCATGGCAATAAGATAACAAAGGCTCTCCTAGTGTTACTTTCTTGAGCAAATTCATTTCTTCTATGACAAATTGTGTTTATTTAACAGACACAGGCAAACCAAAGGAAAAGTGAGGTCAGAACATTCATAGTGACCAAAATCTAAGTCATAGTAAACTTGAAACATAAACTCAAATACAGAACAATCAAAGCACCTCAACCAGTTTTAATATAATAGCATATAGTAAAATGTTGGTTTTTATAATGTACCCTGATGTTACAAGATTAGCAAAAAAATTTATCATTTTTTCCAAAGAATTCTGATCAAGAAAACCACTGTACAATTATACTCCAAGTCTCAAAAATATTAAGAAAATATAATCCACAAAGAGAGAATCCAAATGTCAAAATCATTATTTGAGTAATGGTCTCTATAACGCATTCACTGAATTCAAAGAAAAAGATGTAATTTAACTTAATTACCAACTTTCTTAACAGCATACCCCAGCAAGTCATTGCTTAAGACTCTTTACATTCTTCTGTTGCATCTTTAGTCTCCTGTTCATCTGTACAAAAAACAACAACCAAAGCTATTAGAAAATACTAAATGTGTGCAAAAATTAAAAATAATTTAACATAAAACATTCAACTCTTTTACACAGGAAACAATAATCACGTTCTCATTTGATATTTATTGAAAAGTCACCACAAGCTACATATAAAGTTTACAAGAAAAATGAAAAAGTAGGGACCAGCAGATGGCATAATGATTAAGTTGCTAGACTCCCATGTAGTTGACCGTGGTTCGAGCCCCAGACCCAGCAGCTTAAAATTCACCCCAGGTGCATGTGCGTGAATGCCCAAAATCCAGAGAAGAGAATAGAGGAGAAGGGATTGCAGCATGGCCATACTCCCTGAGGGGGGTGATTTCTCACTTTCTGTCTCTCTGACTAGCACACGTACCCTATAGCAAAAATCTCCCAAATAATAATAATAATAATAACAACAACAACAAGGATAGGTTGCCTGCCACATTGAGCTTATAGCTCAGGGAGAAATATTTGGGCTGTGAGAGCTAAAATTATTATGAATTTGGAAACAGATATAAAAGTTAGTTTGTTGTTTTTCACTAAGTATCTAGGAAGCAGGGTCAAACCAAAAGATAATGTTATATGCAGGTCAGATAAGAGTTAATCACCTTTCATTACCTCAAAGTGAGGGGGGGAATGACATTAACAGAAATAGAATAGAAATATTTTTCTATGCTTAGTGAGATTATCAAAATGGAAGGATTGTTATTCAATGTTATTATCAATATGTGTGGACTTATCCTTTTTTCTCATTGTCCTGTGTGCATTGTTTTTTTTACTTTTATTTGTCTCTCTTTAGCTCTGAATGTCAGGACTGAATGTAGATTCATCAATTTTACACACAAGCATATTTAAATACAAATCCACCAATTATTTGATAGACAGTTGTCTCCGCAGGTTTCAATTTATGTATTTATTATAACCATTATTCATTGCATAGAACTAGATGATAGAGAAAAAGTCCAAAATGTTAACAGTTGAGTCTTTTTCTGTGGAATTAATTTTTTTAAAAAAGCTAAAATCAAGAATTTTGTAAAGCCTAAAAATCACCAAGTCCCAGGCTTTATCATGTCTTCACTTTTAAACATCTTTTTCCAATTTTGTTTTATCTTTGCTTATCCAAGGGCTTATTTCTTTATGCACAGTACAGTACTATGGTCTTACAAGAACTCACAGTGTGTGAGTTTCTTCCTAATGAGTTATTGTGATGTACAATTTTACCTTGCTCTAACTAGACCAATGATTGATACCCACAGATTTTTCAGATTATAAACTCTTATCTTCCATAGTCCTCTAGGTGATTATAAACTCTTATCTCCCATAGTCCTCTAGAAAGAAATTAGAAATTATTCTTTCATTGGCTATGTCAAGATTCTCTTTATTAATTTATGAGATTTTGTTGCCTGATTTTTTAATCAATATGTTTTTCTTTAGAACTATACCTCACAGTAAAGAATGTCATAGATAATTCAGTATACATTTGCAGAATGACCATTGGAGCGGGTTTTGAAGGTTCACAACATGTTAAATGTTGAAAGTGGTGAACATGTTTATAGCCTCAGTTTGTTTATTACACACTGTATATATGCTTTTGAAAACCATTCTGTAATCTACAAAGATGTGTAAAAATTATATGTAAATCATAAATTAAATATTGAAGGAGGTTAAAAACAGGAAGAATTGACTTTTTACTTCTTGAATTGACAACAGAACCAAATAAGGAAAACAATAAAAGAGAATCAAGAGAAAATGGAACCCTCATGAACTGCCGAAGGAACCTAAAATGATGCAGTAGCTTTGAAAACAATCAGACAGTTCCTCAAAAGCTTGCCAAAGACCTAGTAATTTCACTCCAAGGTATACATCCAAGAGAAGTAAAAACATAAATTAACATAAAAGCTTGTATGTAAATATTCACATCATAATATTTAATAGCCAAAAAAAGAAGAAATAACCAAAATTACCATCAACTGAAAAATGGATAAATACAAAGTAGTTTACCCATACAATGGAATATTGTCCAATAAAAAAAAAATGGGGTCAACCCCATGGCCTAGTGGTTAAGGAAGCCAGATTCCACATGGCAAACCATATGGTTCAAATGCCAGACCAGACAGCTTAAAGAACATGTCAAGAATGTATGAGTGCATGTCCAAAATTCTGACAGGATGGAAAATGGAAAAAAATGGATTGTGGTGTGACCTTGCCCCACTGGGGAAAGTTTTCTCCCTCTCCCTCTCTCTCTAGATTCCTCTCTCTCTCTCTCTTCCTCTCTCTCTAGCAAGCACATGTACCCCCTCACAATTAACAAAAAAGAAAGAAAAAAAATGAAAGAAAAGAGTGGAGTATTACTATAACATGGATGAATCTTAACGTTATGCTAAGTGTAAGAAGCCAGTAACAAAAAGCCCAATATTATGATTCAATTTATATGAGATGCTCAGACTAGTCAAAGAGACAAAAAGTAGATTGGTTAGTGTTTGTCTAGGGCTGATAGTTGGGGAGAAATGGGGAGCCGACTGCTAATGGATAGTGTTTGATCTTTCAGGGCTGAGGCAAATGTAAAATTGATAATGGTGATGGGTACACAACTCTGTTAGTACACTATAAACCATTAAATTGTATACTTTAAATGGGTGAATTATACAACATTGTTGAATGGTGACTCTCCCCTCTCCACATAATGTTTACATACTAATCCCTGGAACCCGTGAGTATTACCTTACTTGGGAGAATGGTCTTTGTGTATATAATTAGATTAAGGATCGTGAGATGAGAAGGACACCCTAGATTATCTGAGTTGAGTGAGTCCTAATTCAGTAACAAGTGTCCTCATAAGAAAAAACGCAGGCCAGCCAGTGGCACCATGATTAAGGCGGCTGGATCCCAAATAGCTGATTGTGCAGTTTGAGTTCTAAACCCAGGGACTTGAAAAACACTCCAGGCAAAAAATAAATAGAAAGAAAGAAAGAAAGAAAGAAAGAAAGAAAGAAAGAAAGAAAGAAAGAAAGAAAGAAAGAAAGAAAGAAAGGAAGAAAGGAAGAAAGGAAGAAAGGAAGAAAGGAAGAAAGGAAGAAAGGAAGAAAGGAAGAAAGGAAGAAAGGAAGAAAGGAAGAAAGGAAGAAAGGAAGAAAGGAAGAAAGGAAGAAAGGAAGAAAGGAAGAAAGGAAGAAAGGAAGAAAGGAAGAAAGGAAGAAAGGAAGAAAGGAAGAAAGGAAGAAAGGAAGAAAGGAAGAAAGGAAGAAAGGAAGAAAGGAAGAAAGGAAGAAAGGAAGAAAGGAAGAAAGGAAGAAAGGAAGAAAGGAAGAAAGGAAGAAAGGAAGAAAGGAAGAAAGGAAGAAAGGAAGAAAGGAAGAAAGGAAGAAAGGAAGAAAGGAAGAAAGGAAGAAAGGAAGAAAGGAAGAAAGGAACACCGGGCGCGTGTGCGTGTGTGCCCAAGATCCCAAGAGAAAAATGGAGGAGAAGGGATTGTGGTGTGGCCATCCCCCGTGGGGGGTGATTTCTCACTTTCTGTCTCTCTGTCTCTCTCTTTCTGGCGAGCACATGCGCCATATAGCAAAAACAAAACAAAACAAATAAACAAAAAAATTCCAGGTATGTGCACATGCCCAAAATCCCAAAAGGAGGGAGAAATGAAGGGGAAGGGATTGCAGCAAGACCATCCACAATGGAGGGTGCTTTCTCACCTCCATCTCACTCCTTTCCCTGGCAAGACTACACACCTTCTAGCAAAAAGAAAAGAAGAGAAAAAACTTTTTTAATTTTTTAAAAGAAAAATGCAGATGGAGATAAACACACACACACAAATAGAGAGAGAGAAAGGCAATGAGAGGGTGGGCAGATATTAGAGGGATCTGGTCCCAGAGCAAGGGGGTCCAGGAATGCTGACAGCCATGATGAACGGGTAGAAGCAAGGAAGCATTCTCCCTAGGGCCTTGGTGGAATGTGGCCTTGGGGACACCTTGATCTCAGATTTCTGGCCTCCAGAACTCCAAGAGAACACACTTTTTAAATTTCTTCTTAACTGGAGCAAAAAGAAGATATTTCTTTGTGAAGATCCCAAAAGGACTGTGCAGAAATGTACATGGTCAAAGCCAAGCAGATCCATTTATAGCATTTTTTTTAATGTAGCAGCATGATGTAGCTGTAGCTTTTTAAACTATGATACCTCTGAGAGATTGTACCTTCTGGATGAAATATTTATAATAGATTGTGGCTGCAGATGCTGTTCACTGCACACACACACACACAAATAGAGAGAGAGAAAGGCAATGAGAGGGTGGGCAGATATTAGAGGGATCTGGTCCCAGAGCAAGGGGGTCCAGGAATGCTGACAGCCATGATGAACGGGTAGAAGCAAGGAAGCATTCTCCCTAGGGCCTTGGTGGAATGTGGCCTTGGGGACACCTTGATCTCAGATTTCTGGCCTCCAGAACTCCAAGAGAACACACTTTTTAAATTTCTTCTTAACTGGAGCAAAAAGAAGATATTTCTTTGTGAAGATCCCAAAAGGACTGTGCAGAAATGTATATGGTCAAAGCCAAGCAGATCCATTTATAGCATTTTTTTTAATGTAGCAGCATGATGTAGCTGTAGCTTTTTAAACTATGATACCTCTGAGAGATTGTACCTTCTGGATGAAATATTTATAATAGATTGTGGCTGCAGATGCTGTTCACTGCTTCTTAGTTCTTTAAGAAACATTCTTAGCAAACTTTATATAATACTGAGGACAGGGCTTTTTTTCTCTTCATTGTAAGGGGTCTGAATATAGTAGCATTTCATATGCTTCCTGAGAGAAACAGATAGTTTCCTTAGCCACTGAAGATGTTTTTCCCATGAACAACAGTTTATACATTTTTTTAAACTGTGTGTTTCTTTGGACGTAAAATGGCTATGACAGCTTCATCAAAAACAGTCTTCGATCTCTGTCTTCTGCAGTCTTCCACATAGCAGCATGTTCCTGTCTTTGTGGC